TATTACTGCTTGGCTCTATACAATTTAAATATTGTTTCTGAAATAAGTTTTTTATTTTCAGTTTTCAAAAAAATAGCAATCGTTCGTTTTGCAGAAATAATGAATCGTAGAAGACATCTCTTACTTTTATAGGCTCATCTCATTTAAATAATTTGATGACGAGCAATGCAGTTCCACCTGATCGATGCTGTATATAACTTCTAACAAAACTTATAAGAAGTTCCCAATTGCGAAATTTAAACGAATGGATTATATTAGTTTTAATTCCATTACGAAACAAATTTTTATAAAGAATTAACGATGGAAATCCAAGTAATTATTGTGGACGAGTTTTCAAATTGGAGTAATTTGAATAAATGCAAAGAAAGGTCTACTACGGTCCATTCAACACAGTTAAACGATTTACATCCTAACTTAGGTCTTTTCTTTTCTCAATGGTCAATGTTCGGTCTTGCGCAATGGACTATTAATGTCATTGTAAGGGAACTTTCAGTATTCAATGTAAAACAGGCTTAGCGTTTCATCTCACGGAAAAATCAGCATTAATGCATTACATTCATTTTATGTGTTTAATAGGCTTAGAAAATAATTTTTTCTCATCAAGTAAATTTAAAATTCTGATAGAAAAATTTTGCCAATTCAAGTTAAAACAGAAGAAGAAAGTGTTGGAAAAATGTGAAAGTGATGAACTTTTATCAGCAACTTTGCAAAGTTTATCATCGATGGATAAAGCTTATAAATCAATGAAATTTATTGCAGTGTGTCGCAGTTACTTTTCTGTTATTAAATGAATTTTACGGCGGATGAATCATTCAATCCGCACCAGCCATGTTGATCTATTCAAGTCTCAAGGCCATTAGATTTGATCTGAAACGATCAGTTGAAAATAGAATCAATAAGTTGATTATTGATCGCATCACTAAGACATTAAGATCAATTCTGAGCTTTGCAATTGATATGAAAAGATTTTTAAACGGAAAATTAGGTCATGGGGTTAGGATCAATGGTGAATTGCGCGCGATATTTATCAGTTCAGAGATCATTTTATCTTGAAATGGACGTTCTGTTTATTTTCACTTCTTCCCCTTCCTTTTCCTTTTTAATCTTCAAAACTTATTTACTTATGATAAACTGTTTTTAACATTTCTCAAGATCATGTTTATAAGCTTCCTCAAAAAAAGGCTATTTTTCTTCTAGAATTTGTAAAACTTACAAATTGTATCTATACCTTCCCGTAATCATTTTATCATTTTCTTTGAGGATTATTCCGCTTATCAATACTGTAACTATACGTCAAATATGAACATGAAAAAAACAGTCCATAGACGATGAAATCATTTCGTAAAATATGCTAATTGAAGTTTGAATTCTTAACTGCAACCGAAAAACTTTGTAAATGTAATATTAAAGATTAACAGTGTAGTAACCATTATTATTATTATCATTATTATCATCATCATTGCTATTACTATTTATTATTGTTATTATTTTTATTATTTATTATTGTTCCTATTATTTATTATTATTATTTTATCATTATTTATTATTATTATTGTTGTATTACGTCAATGTCAATAAAATTAAGGAGAGAAAAAAATTCTAAACTTTTCAGAGCACTGTTGAATAGTGGAACATTTGGTGAATTTGATCGTGAAATAAGCGAACAAATCGAGCATTGGCAATTGGAACATCATCAAAATGGTGCTGATACATCCATAAGAGGTGTCAAGAAATTTTCACTTTTCTTCTTTTTTTTTTCATTGAACAAATTAATTTTTATTAAGAAAGAGTAATTCATTTCGTCACTTCTTCCCTGAGATAATTCAGACTACAATAATCGAAAATATATGACATATTTGCAGGCCGATTATTATCCTTTACAGAAGTTGAAGATTCGAATTCATTCACTGAAGAAAGTGAAGAAGAAGAGGAATATCGAATGGCTTCTGTTGAAACGGTTCAATCACCGCCAACGTGGGATAATAATGTATAAAATTTCTTCCACATATATTGTAATTTAAAATATTACATCTTTTTATAAATCATTTAAGAGAAATTTTTTTTTGCAGTATGATGGATAAAGCCAAACATTCCCAATAAATTGGCTAAATTCGAATGAATGAGGAAAACTGTAATATTTATATATGTAACTAATTAGAGCCGTAGGCTATGTATAGTTTGAAAATAGAAATGTGAACAATTTTAGCGTTAATTAATAAATTTATTGAAGTGCAGAATAATTAATAAAAGGAAATAAATTCGCTGACAAATGATACAAGTTATATTTTTATCAAAACTTTATGAATAATTAAAAATATTTTACTAGCTGTAAGTAATTAAATGTGAAGCATAATAATTATGAAAAGGTCAATGCAAAATTATTGAATGTTAGGATTTGGCTTATGTTTGTTGTTAATATATTCTTCTTTAAACTATAAAATTTTCAATTTTCTCATTTGATACTTACTGTATTCAACATTTCATCATTGATTTTCCAACAATATTTCATTAATTTGTGTTAGCTAATAATTTTTTTCCCTCAAATAATTTGAAGAAAGCAATTAGAGTGAGGAGAATAAAATTTATTTTTGATTGTCAAAAAATCCTACTAATTTATATGCTAATTTTTTATCCGGATCCTTTTTCCATCCATCTCTAATCCATTCAATACATTCATTTTGTTTGTTCAATTTCCAACTTCATTTCACAAATGTATCAGAATGAAATGAAAAATTATTCATTTATTCTGTTTATAGTTATTCTTCAAATAAAATTACGACATTTTGAATTTTCAAAGACATATTACTAAAGAAATATCATTAATTTTTTATCCATTCTATCAAAATGTAAAATTATTTCAGAGCTTAGATGAATCATGTTACAAGGATAGTGCTCTTGTACAATTGGTTAATTTGTTAAAGAATAAAACAGATTCGATTAATCTTAGCAATCTTGAGCAATTGGTCGAAGCATTATTACTTAAATGTAATCCGGTAAGTTATTTAATTCTTATGTGATACTATATGAATTAAATTTTTAATCCCTTAAAATACATTAATTTATTATTGAAATTATTTTAAGTGAAATTAATTAGTGTGATGATAATTTTAAGTAAGCAACTGAAACCTTAATTGTTTGTTACAAAATTTTATTGCACTTTTTAAATCAAATCAAGTATTATACATTTTTTTAATATTTATTCATATTAGATTATAGATAGGACATTTTTTTCGAAAAATACATAAAGATATAAATAATTGGAGCTTTTAACTTTGATTCACCTTGTACTGTAGTCTATACGTTAACCATTACCTCAGCTATGCACTTACTTTCTGACAGCTCCTTATCATTGATTGATCAACAATATTAACATCTAGATTGAATCGTTATCAAGCCATATGTATCTGTTTGTCATAGAACTGATAGTAATTTTAAAATAAACATTAAAGAGAGACTGATTGGTAAGCGGAAAAAGCGGAAAAAATCCCAATTTTTGAGATTATTATTAAGTCAAACCAAATCTGAATATTATTGAGTTTTTAGAAGAGATTTTTATTTTAAGAACGATGCTGAAATGATGGTGGAAATGGCCATCGGAACTGGAAAGGAAATGAATGAAAAGGTTGAAAACAAAAAAGATGAACTCACTCAAGGTTTATAAAACTTTTATTTTGTTTTCCCGCAAATTTATTTGGTTTCCATTTTTATTTCTTTTTTTGAAAAATTGTAGTCATAATCATTTTTCTTTCAAAAGAAAATGAATTTCACGAAATAGTTTGATAGCTCAGATATAAAATTTCACGGATATGCAAGTAAATCTATTTTTCCAAATTATTTTGAATGATCGGATAATAATAATAATAATAATAATGCTTGTCTTAATGTGAACCTAAATTTTCTGAGATCAAATGCAATTAGCATTTGATAGCCACTAGCAACTCAGGTAATAATTAATACGGAGAAAGCCTTCTGACACCTAATTTAGTGCAACTGCTGCTTAGAATTTTGTTCGGGAAATATTTCAGATTGAAAGTTTCAGATGCATAACGTTTCTTTCAACTTTCTCATCTGTCTTTTTCAAAAAAAGTATTGAAGTGTATAATATATAATTGCAAACAAATGGGATTATTTACTCTTTGCATTATTTGTTTTGTTCAGCATTATTTGTTTTGCTCATTAAATTTAATTTCTTTCCAGCATCACCTGTAGCATTACCAATCGTAGTTGCAGCACCTTCACCAGCTCCTCCACCACCACCTCCTCCACCTCCTCCATTGTTAGCAGAAATTTCCAATGGACCGCCGCCTCCTCCATCTCTTCAGCTAAATGAGAAAGGATCTAGACTATTATCAAAGAAAAAACTAGACATACCGAAAGCATTGAAACCAAAAGCTATGCCTAAAGCTGGATCACAGATGAAACAGATCCAATGGACTAAAATACCTGTTGAAAAGGTCAGTTCTAGAATTTATAAAAAACAATTTTGCAACATTCAAAGAATTAATAAGATTCCATTTTTTGAAATTTCCAAAATAACTTTTTGAAGGCTATAAAATTTTTAATAATCCCAACTTGTCCTGTCTAAAGCTTTCATAGATTGTGGGATTGTTAAGTGTGCATAAAAATTTCATAATCCGGTTTGTCTGAAGAGATAGTCGAATAAAGGCGAAGACTTATCTGAGTGATGAAATTTGAAAAAATCATTGATAATTCTAACTTATCTTGTCTAAAGTTTCCATAGATTTAGAACGCTCGCATGCCATTTGAGTGAAACAATATGACAAAATTTGAAAATATTCAGGTAATTGGTGATGGTATGCAGAAAATTCACAATGTTTGGATGTCATCCGCTCGACTTTCTGAAAATGGTATCATTTTAGTATTCCATTAGTCTAAATTTCTCAAAATGCTCTGTGCAGATTTACAATTTTGCCTTGTTACAGTTTAAAAAAGGAATATATACTATCAGCTAGAAATACATCTTATATAAACGGAAAATGGGAATTTAATATTGGGCATCTGTCCAGATTTCCTCCTCATCAAGATCTTTTTCCTGTATTGTTTTAAATATTTAGTTTTCTTGGAACAGAACTGAAAATTTTTTCGGTCATCAGTACTCATTTGATCTTAGTTTTTTTTATTGGATACTTTTGAAAAAAGTCCGAAACCTTGAAATTTCTTTTTTTGTGCTTACCTCCAGGTGTAATCAATTTTCAGAATTACATCTTAATTTCGATGAGTTGGAATCGATGTTTAGTTGTGCAGCTGCTAGACCATCTAATGATATGTCAAATATTGAACGACGTACAACTAGAAAGAATGCAGTAATTACTTTACTCTCACATAAACGAAGCTTCAGTGTGAGCATTTTCCTGAAGCAATTCAAAGAAGGTAATTTAGCTTTCATTTCTTTAAATGAAAGATTTTATTTCAAAGTAAATATAGGAGCATGATTTCAAGGTACATCACAAATTATCGAAAATGTTCGAGATGGACGTGGAGAATTTTTTGGTCTTGAACGATTAAACAACCTTCGTGCTATTTTACCGGACAATGAAGAGGTGTAAATATCTTTAAGTTTCATAGAAATACTATTTATTTATTTGATGAATAACCGAGTGTGCGAGAAAAATCATACAAAATTTACCGGATAATGGCGTATAAGATCTGTTATGAAATAATATGAATGATAGAGATATTAGGCTGAAAGTTACAGCATGTAAAATGAACAAAATTTTATTCGAAATCCGAATCGTGTTAGTAATTTGATAGCAATAGAAATTTTTTTGAAAATAAAACTGAAGTGTAAAATTAAATTTGTGGTTGCAGATTGAAATTTTACGAGGATTTAGTGGTGATCAGTCACAGCTTGGTATCGCAGAACAATTCTTTTTAAGTCTGTTAACCGTATCAGACTATAGGCTTATCTTGGATTGTATGATTTTGAAAGAAGAATTGGATATTGCATTCGAAACTTTGCTACCTCATATTGACACCGTAATTAACAGTTGCATAGGTTTGTTTTTATTGTCTAATCAATCATGTAATTTATTAAATTTAATAATGTTAAGGAACAGTTTTTTCAGATAATTATCAGAACATATGTGAAATATATCAATTTTTGTTCCTTTTGATCTTGTAGGAAAACTTTAATAGAAACTTTAGTTTTAATTACCTCTTTGAAAAAAAATTTTAACTATTAATGGTACTACTGGATTGTTTGAATAGCGAAAAGATGTCAAAAATGCGAAGAAACATGAATGGATAATTCAGTCCTTTTAACGCAAAATTATACAAATACTTGTAAGGACTGATATTACTTAAAGTTATGTATATCAGAGAATAGATTATTTATTCTGAAATTTCAGAAATTAAAGAAAGCAAAGCATTGCCAAAGATTTTTTGTATGCTTGTACAAATTGGTAATTTTTTAAATGCAAATGCAACATTTGGCAATGCTGCCGGATTTAAACTCAATTCACTTTGGAGAATTTTGGATGTGAAGGGAACGCAAAAAAGTATTACACTTCTACATTTCATTGCAATGGTTAGCAAATATTTTCTTCAGCAATTATAGCAGGAAAAAGTGCTGGAATCATGAATAGGAATTGTGAGAAACACTAAATTGATCTATCAATTCATTCAGTTTAGGAGATACATATTTATCTTTTAAAAATGTTCTACGCACAAAAATGTCTGTCAAATTGGATATTTTGAAATGAAATAAAATATGAAATTAAAATGTTTGGATAATTCAAACAGTTTGAAAATACAAGTCTTCGCTAATTATTGCTTGAATTGCAAAATTGTTTATTTATTTTTGGTATAAACTTATTAATGTCTTATTTTCAGCAAGATCGTGAGTGCACGGAAAAATTATTGAATGAATTGTTGACAGTGCCAGTTGCTGCAAGGTAATATTATTGAATTTTACTGGAAAAAAATTGAAAATTCCCTTAATCAATCCAACTTCAATAAGTGCAAATTCTATGCGTGCAAATGCATGCAATTTTAATAATTTTATGCGTTTGCGCACATAGAATTGTTAGAATTTCATTGCTAATTTCATTTGCTAATTATTTGTCCATTTATTGAACATTGCGATTAGAATGAAAATTCTATTAGAAAATTTGGATTTGGATCAAACAAGTCTTCATACTTTAATTATTATTTGCATTATTAGCCTACTTGACCATTGGCAAGAGATTTAAGTTAATTTTTTCAGGCTATCACTAGAATCAATCCGAAATGACGTTCGGACAATCGGTGATAAATTGGTTAATGTGAGTAGTGAAGTAAGAAAACGGATTGATATTCATTTTTTCGAAAATACTAACCAACATTTCATGGTATGCTTTTTCATCTCTGCTCAATTATTAATTATAAACTTTGAAAATTTTAATTTCCAGATAGAGAGGAAATATAATTTTCTTTGTTTAGAAAATACCTATTACATCTTATATTTAAATTATTTTATTTTTTACTTATTGCACTTCTTACATATACAAGTAAAACATCTTTAGATATAAATAACATAGTTTAAGTGTACAAAATGAAGCTACAAATTGTTTGAGATAAATAATTGTTAAAAATAAATGAATCATAAATGATTCTTTCAAATTTTAAAGAATTCACGAGAGCATATGGAAAATATGAAAGAGCAATTAGAACAAATGGATCAGTTGATTTCTTACCTGGCAGCATATTTCTGTGAAGATGAGAAGCATTTCAAAATTGAGGAATGCTTCAAAATATTGTCCACATTCATCTGTAGGCTTCGAGATGCGCTAAGTGTATGTATTCACTTGTAATTTGATAGCAATTATTAGTATTAATTCTTAGTATTTGCTTCTAATAATTGCTTCTATATTTTATCTGACTTATTTCTAAGCAAAAATTTTAAGAAGAAGAATGATAAGGTATTACAAATTAAATTTAACAATCTCTTGCGAACTAAGATTCCTAATTCAAACAATTATCTGCTTAAATTTTCTTCCTCCTATTTGATTGCAAATGCTGAATGAAAAAGATTTAACGATAAGCTTTTTAGTCCTTACTTCAAAAACTCGCCCACTATCTAAAACAGCAGTTTAGTCCTCAGAACCCCTCCATACTACGGGAAAGCAGATTAGTGAACATTTTAGCTGCGTATCCGTTAAAATTTCATAAATTAAAATTGCAACATGTAAAAGTTCATATAATGCTAAGTAATACCGGTGTCATTTTAATTTATACTTATTTAATATTTACTACTATACTTATTATACTTACTTGAACATTTGAGCCGAAAACGGAACGAGATCATGAATTCAACTCTTCCATGTTTACATGTATTATAGTACTTTTATGAAAAGCTGAATTTTTGAATTCCACCATTTCATGCAGGATAATGAAAAACGCATAAGGAGATTAAAACGTCTGGAAGAAAAAAGCAATGTGGAAAATATCGTGTCGGATAATTCTTCAAAGTTTAATTTGTCAGAGAAGATCAATAATAACAATAATAACAATAATAGAACATTGGAAGAACTTCTGGAAAGCAAGTAAGTTAAAATTGCAACATGTAAAAGTTCATATAATGCTAAGTAATACCGGTGTCATTTTAATTTATACTTATTTTATATTTACTACTATACTTATTATACTTACTTGAACATTTGAGCCGACACATTCTGAATCTCGAAATCGAGCAAAATCGGTACATTATTTTAAGTCTTTCTTGAACTATGGAAATAAATGTCGTCCATTTCTTGGTCTCTGTAAAACAACCTACTTAAATCGCACACCGTAAGGGTATAACGGATAGTTACCATGTCTAAAAAAACTCAATTATATGTTAGCAATACAAAAGATCATGCTGATTTCATGAATTTTCAGTTCTCATTCGGATATCCGTCACTGTCGACCTCGTTCAAATATCAATCAGACAAATATTGTAATGAAATCATCGGAAGATGAAAAAAAAGATTGTAAAATTGTCCATCGAACAGTTCATAAGCTAAGGGATAAAATACCTGATGAGGTAAGTGTCTACTTTTAAGTGTGAATTTTATTGATAACAGTTGTGAAAATAGTAACAAAATATACTGCTTATTTTTTTTACTAATTTTGTAATAAATTAGGGAGATGATATGTCACCAATTATGAAGTTGAGAAAACAATCACGAAATAAAAGTGATGCTTATCTGATAAGGCATAGTCAGAATTTGGATGAATTCTTGGAGGTAGCTGAAAGAGTGGAAAAGGAAGCTGTAAAACAGGTAGGATCAGCTTTTTCTTTTCATAACATTCAATCAGTTTGGAAATCTTCTCTTTCTTTTTTTAAATTTAAATTACTGTCCAAATTTGCGAAAATCTTTATTCTTTTTTCAGTGTAACAAAGAAATACCTCATGAATTAATTGAAATGACTCCAACATTCTCAACTTCTAAAGGTTAGAAATGTTTCACTCATTTGAGATAAATTGATTTTGAAAAAATTATTAAGATAGTAACAAATACAGACCCATATTTTCCCATCTATTGGTTATTATGAACTTACCCGTATCCTGAATATATATATATATATATCCGTATCATGAAACCATATCTTACCGTGCTGAACATATTGAAATGTAATATTATCTGTGTTAAAAAATATAAATAATCCTGCTTTATTCAATGCAATGAAATTTTATTCCAGAAAATGCGCCATCAAAAATAGCAGAGTATAAAAGAACGCCATCAACAGAAATAATTCCTAAACATAATAACTCAATAAATACCGCAGAAGATGCATCTTTCATCAATCATAACAGAGCTAGAACGACACATTCTCCGATGGATAAGATGAAGCAACGAGTTGCAGTGGAAAGAGCTGCCGAAATTTCATTATCCAAGACGATACGTAGCATACGAACATTGAAATCAGTTAGAAAGACATCTCCTGTACAAGATTGTGCTGATGACTCGCAAAATTCACTATATCGAATCAAATTATCCACAACTTCAACATCTAGTAAATCTACATCAAAACAATCTATCAACAATTCACTTGTTTTCACTAAGCAACTTCCTGCTACCTTTACTTCAACAAGTCAAAAAATTGGAATACTAGAACAGGCATGTGATAAATCGAAAAATATTCCTTCGAAATCATTAATACAATCCGGAAAATCATTTACCACTATTACAACCAAAGAAGCTGTAATAAAACGGCGTGACGGAATAGCTGTAACGAGTAAATCTGAAACAGCCTCTTCAAAAACTGCCAAAACCATGCCTTCTCGGAAACCACGTTCTGATACATTTGGTATCACTTTATCCAACGTTACGTCTACGAAAAATACAACGTCTATCCGTATGACAAAAAAATCAACAAGTTGTATTGCAGATACTGAAATACCATGTACATCGAATTCATCAGTCGAAAATTTACCACAACGTACACGTGCTGCTGATGGGTTTGTTACCTCAGCTACCCAAAAGCAGAATATTGGGTCACAATCATTTTGGGGAATAACTTATCGATCAACTCATGCTAAATCAGTTGCAACAGCTACAAAGGGTGTAGCGCATTCGAATGACAACACCGTACATCCTCCCGCTTCAACAAATCATGATCCTTCATCGTCCTCAAAGTCAGCTTCTATTGCATCTCGTTCAAAATCAATGCCGCAGAGAACATCAGCAACTGGTACAACATCATTAGTACGTGCAACGCCGCCACGTTCCTCACCTTCCATAACACGACGGTTTGTAAGAGGAACAACCAAATCTGGTCCACACGTACTAACTTCAACAGCAACAGCTGTACCGAATCCTCATAATAAGACAATGAAACGTACCGACTCCTGTAGTACCGCTTCAAGGCCTTTGCTAATTAAAACCGGTACCGTATCAAGACCCAGGTGGAAGTAACGTAGCAAGAGAATCATCAATGACAGCATTTGAAATTCAATTTTCTGATATAAATGTTAAGGAATGAAGTAAGAACATCTGAAACTAAAGGAATATAAGAGAAGAAAGGAATTGCATGATGTTTCATCTCATTCCGATTTGACACCATGAGCTAATTAATTGCGCTATCACCAATCAGCAGTATTCGAAAAATAAATTAGAATGGTAGGGTCCACCGGAATCAAGTCATTATTCTTCTCAGTGCTTATTATTTGATTTAGTCATTGCAGTTGTTGTAAACTTTGGAAGATCGAAAATCTTTTTGTTCTTTAGGACAATGACAGGAATTTTATGTGGACAGTGATTCGTGTCCTTATATTATTCATCATTCCTTCTCTTCTATTTACCGCTTCTTCAATTTATTATTACGTGTTTTAAGGTAAAGAGAGATTTATCAATGATTATGCGAAGTTTATTATGTTGACTTTTCATTTCCTCCTTTATTCATTTATTTATCAATTAATCACCGAATAAATTTTGTCCTTTTTCTCTTCAAATATATTTTACGTGAAATTAACTATATATAATAAGTAAGGAATTGAAAAAAAAATGCTTTCCGTTTTATTGATTAGTTAAAATATCTTCAGAGATAATTTGAATGTGAAACTATGTGTGGTTCATGTGATATCGTAACATAACATGTGAGATGTTTTAGGAAAAATAAATTTGCATACATTATTCTGTCGTGCTTTTTGCACTCTTCTCTTATGTGCTACACCCACACATGCAACTTCAAGAAAAATTTGGAAATTGAAAACAATTCACAAATAAAATTTGCTTTCAATTCCCGGTAAGATTCATTCTGCTTCACGTTCTAAATCAATTTCCATGAAAGGAAAAAATTTTTCAAAGTATTTTTCGCACATTCATAAATCATCAGAATTATTGATTGCATGTAATCTCTAAAAGATGGTGTTTTTTGCATTTGAAAAACCCCAAAAATAAAGATTTTCAAGTGATGCATTATAAAAAAATCAAAGTTAAAATTTTAAATGTAAACTTACCGCATGAAATTCATAAGATAAGAATTCTGAATAATTTAACTGTCTATCCAGTCTTCTCTAGTTATACACTGAGATTTTAAAAATGATAAAGCGCATAGAAAACATGACGTATTTCGTAATTAAAGCTTTTTAGTCCTACCTGAACATTCGGCTTATTTTTCTTTTGAGGCAAGCAGAACAACTCTTCTCAGGTAAAAGAAAATAAAATACTTAATGGCTCATTTAGGAAACTGCTGGTCATGGACGAGACGATCCATTCAAGGATTAAATTTTATGCTTATTAAGCGCAATAATTGATCAACAATTAACAGCGGTGAACAAAGAGCGAGATTTAGTTACATTGAGAGATCCAGAAAAGTGAGAGTAACTTTTTCTGAGCCCGAAAAAGCAGATATTCACAATTTCCTGCAGTGCCCAAAGAACAAGATTTCGGATATTGGAATTTGAGATTCCTAGCTCTCTCAGATCAAGCTGAGAATATAAGTTGAATGAATCTTCCTATAGCGACGATTATTTACGGTGTGACACGGAAAAAAAGTCCCCATTTGAGAAAACAATCATTTCTTGCCCTGTATCATGAATAAATTCAAACAAGTGAATAATCTTGAATAAAACCAATATGAGAGTAATCTAAATAATAGAGAAGTTCGTTCTCATGAAATCCAAAAAATAGTTACTGGTGTAAAAGAATCATTTATTGTCGAATTATATCACCAAATGTAAACGAAGTAAGAATTCTTCACATTCTCCTTTCTTCTTTATCCAACACCTAAAATATTTTTCATATAATGAGAATCAGTATGGTGCTCCTAAGTAAAATAAACGATGTTATATAATGCATTAATACGATAACTTCCGAACAGCTTCAATTTCACTAAAAAAAATTCTTTAGCTCGATAAATTGAAATTTGCTAATTTTTGTTCATTCAGGGATCTTGGATATGTGAGCCATTATAAACATGAATATAACGAACAGTGACAAAACAAAAATTATATGAAACAAACTATAGATAACGCATTCAGATCCATACTCCATAAAGTTCTCCATGTTGTTGACTTCAACGTTTCGAATCGTTCCAACAGTTCATTCCTTTTCTCTTGCAAAATCAAAATTTCTTCATTGCTCAAACGATAGAGTGGCATGTCGAGCAAATATGTAAAATCTGGCGAACTGCGATTTTTGTCCTACAATAATTAATTATATTGCAAACAGCGATAGCTTCATGATCAAATTTTGTAGATTTAAAAGTGTGATAAAATGAAACTTCAAGCAAAGCAAATTGCAAAGTAAATAAAATGAAATTTTGAGCAAAGCAAATCTTTCAGTTAAATTCATAATGCGCTTCAAAGAACAATACAGTCATCCCTTGATGTATGTCTATTTGCATGAAGTAATTTATCAAAAATATTGACATCAACTTTACCCCAGCGCTTTTTATTTTCACCGGATTCGATTCAAATCCCTTCTCAACCAGCTGAGTTATAATTTCTGCACGGTTCCTCTTCTCAATAGTGATTTCGCCATTAATAATAGCATTCAGAAAGCGAACCTAAACAATGTCAAATGTAGATCTAAGTCACTCATTGAAAAGTGTCAAAAATTTTGAGATGAATGCAAGGATGAAGATAATCCCAACAAGCAGATTCTATACAAGACTGAATGAGAACTTTTATCATAATGTGAAAAAATCTTGCTCTGTTGATATTTTCAATGTTAGCTAGAGGGCAGAGATCTATGCCTGAATTAACAATAGGAATGGTAGGTCAATCGAGCCACTCTTTTCATGTTAGAAGAATACTCCAAGATCTCTCTTCAATAAAGAAAATAACGATAGGCTCAGGTATGGGAAAAAGAAGGAAGGAGTGGATGATGTTGCTTAATGTTACCATTCATTGCATACGATTTACTCTGTTTGCTATTGTGTGACCGCTGAAAGAAAATTACCCCTTTCAAGCATAGCTTTTGAACAATTAAATAAGTTACCAAAGTGTACCTTTTTATTTCCATAATGCTTGCTTTTGTTGCTGCTGCTAAAATAGGCGAAATAGCAGCAGCGAAAACAAATCCTTAAGCGAAGCTCATCTTTTCGATTCCGTCATTTGTAACAAAAAAAACTTGTACGGAACCGAAAAGATGAGCTTCGCTCAGGGGTTTCTTTTGCTCAATTTTAACTGGTTTTACTTGTTCAATTTTACCTGATTCTCAGTAAATTTAAGTTTCGCATCCATAGCTTTCATTTCATATTCCCTTCTTTCCATGTATTTCTGTCGACGTACTTCGAAAAATTCTTGAAATATTTCTACTGTGGTATTATATTTTCGCAGTACGTTTTTTTCATCGAATAAAATCTGAAATTCCCACATTACATTAACTACGGTAAGGCGATCAGAAAATACCAATAAGCAAAGTATATAAATACTATTACAGAATAACTAAAGAGCTGGAAAATAATACTAAATAAATAGCGCAATTAAGCATTATTGTGAATACAATCAACGATAACGACTATGGTACAATAAGCTTAGAGATCCACAAAGACTACTATAAGAATATATATAAATAACAGATCTAACACTTAAATACATTCAATGTGCCAGGAGTAGTAGTTAAATCAATGCGATGTAAGGAACAGACTGATAATAGCATGCGTAACCATATGAATTTCAATTTCAAATGCGCAATAACAAACCATTGAGTTTTCACTTGCAACTGAACGTAATTTTAACAATCGATTGAGTGTCTTAATTCGCTTGTTGTCGCTTATCAACGGTTTATCAATTACATGAAGAATGAAATGTACGCTGCTTTCAGTATGCAATTCTTCATAATTACTGCAAAATACTTGAATCACATCATTTTCTTATCCGCAACAAATAAAACTGAACATAAAAATCTATAAAAGATAAGGAGGAGCCATAAATGATACCAATAAATTATAAATCCTTCACCTTATTAATCCATTTTTGATGACAGAATCGAGTACTTTCTCTTTGTATCTATTATTCCAAATTCCAGTAGGAAGCTCTGTTATTATTGCCTAAAATAAAATAAGGAAAAATTTCAATCTTAGGAAACGCCTACGAAACTTAACCCCAATAAAAAATATCTGGAAACTTCTCAAACAAATGCAAAAATCAAGAAATAAAAAGCATTATTAGTAAATATTATAATCTTCACCCTAAGGCCGCTTCTTAAACGACGATATGAAACTTTTCCGGAGATATTGTACTGACGAGGTGCAGTTTCATTTACTGTGCCTTGAAAATTTCGAAAATGTGGCAGCTGAAATTAATTTTCAAGTAATAACCGCTGTTGAAAACAAATAAAAGTTGAAACTAAGAAAGAAACAGGATTTCAATCAGAAAAACAAAGCCTATACGTTAATGGCGGATATGAATGGGTCCTATTGCTCCGCTGTATTTCAGTTTTTTGATGGTGCATGTTTGATGGTAACGTTTAGAACTATCAGTTATGAAGTGGAGATCCTTATTACAAACTACACAAAACATTGGTAAACGAGAAGTGGTGAGGACAGTTACGTAAAAAACTAGCACTTCTCTGTTCACTGTCCATAAGATCATAAGACTTTTTCCTTCATGAACATTTCCCTTGCTTACTATGCATCTTCTTGAGCATATGTTAAGTAAATATTAACTCGCTGTCCACCATCAGTTACATAATAATAAATATATCATCAATTACGAATTACCCTATGAGCTAACAAAAGAAATCCATCATGAAACTGTGTCGAGAAATTTGTGATCAGTGAAAGCTCAGGCTTGAAAATTAGAGAAGTTCTGAAAATCAGGAATGTTGTTGACGGCTATGCAGAACTGTTGCAGACAATATGTAACTGAATGATTTAATACTACGATAACTGATGTTGACAGAGATCACTGAACTTGACCATATCTGTATAAACTTAAAAACTAGCATACGTTCCTATTTTAAGTTTTTTCAACATTTTTATTGAAAGACTGAATTACGAGATTATCAAACAAGTTATCATGTTTCTGTTTCTATCTGCTTGTCCCCCTCTGCCTTATCCGCCCCCAGCTAATTTATGGTAATTCATTTCTATACACTAATGAAGGAAAAAAAATAGTAAAACAAGATTTTGAAAGCAAAAATAGTACATACCATCTCTTGAAGTGGTCGTCCATCAATAAGTCTTTGGACGTTACTGATGACTTGCCTAGGACAGCGTGGTAATACTTTCGTAGCCCACCCTGTACCAATCCCTTCTGCACCATTTATCAAAATCATCGGAATTATAGGACAATACCTAGCAAATAATTTTAAAAATTAGTATTCATCCCAAGCATATAATGTATAAACAGTTTTCAATCTGAAGTGAGGTTTTGATATATAAACTAGTTTTGTATTAAAATTCGTAACAATGCTGCATCGTAGAGAAAAAACAAATTTAAAATACGGAAATTGGGAAACAATTTACCATTCCGGTTCAATGAGTGCGTTTTCTTCTTCTAAATATTTCAAAACTTTATCGTCTGGACGCGGAAATATGGCTCGTGCAAGTGGACTAAATTTTTATAATTAGATGACAGCCAAGATTAATAAGATGAGTACTAAAACGAAACGTTCAAATAGAAAGATGGAAAGATATTAAGGAACAAAAACACAATAGTGGAAGATTTCAGCAAATTTTTAAAGGTAAGAAAACTAAAAATCAATCTCCACACTGTAATAGATTTATATGAAATTTAATGATCAAATGGTGACAAAACAGAGGTTTAACGCTACCTTAGCGAAGTATAAATATATCGTGCACTTGCTGCATCTTCGCCACCTGCTAGACGTGTACCAAATTGACCGAGAGGTAAAAGAAGATTTAAATTATTGGAACCAACGAAATTCTGAGCTAAACGAACGATCGTATTCACCAAAGACTCCTAGACGAGAACTGAATGAAATAAGAAATGAAGAGAAGTAAGCACATTAGAATCAAACAAAAAGTTGTAAGCAGGAAACAAAAACAAACGAAGATTGCCAGCGATACTAGAAAAGGAATTAAAATCTACCTCCCCATGATGGTATCCACAGTATTGCGAAACAGCTCCCGCTAATTGACTTACTCGTACTTCACCACGTTCATAACGTCCAAACATTGTAAACAAAACTTTTCGTTGACTTGGTTTCAGTCCATCCATAATATTTGGTAGAGAACGCTGAAATAACACTGGTAGTCTCAATAATTGTTAAAAAAATAGCACGAAGTGCAGTAGGAAAATTGAAATTTAGAAAACAGATTATAATGAAATATTTATTCTCATAAGTTTTCACATTGTAAATTTATATACACCAAAGCAACTAATATTGTCTGTTTTTTCTATTTTCGCTAATACTAACTTGGTGACATACTAAAATTTTAACTTTTTAATTGCAAAATATTCATTCTGTACTACAATATATTAAATTTCGAATAATGATGAGGAATTCAACTCCATAGTATTCGTATGGAAATTAACAGCATTAATGAATTTTCTCAAATTCCAAAAATTTAGACCGAAATACAACAAACCCGAAGGTCCAATTGTGAATATTCCACTAATTCTTCGTTGACAAATTCCGAAAAAGTTTTCTGATTGCGGCTTGAATCAATTTTGGTTGACAGCAGCAGCTGTAATTTCATAACCATATCACAGAAGTAAGATTTTTAGATGTTGGTTAAAAATTAACTTGGTGACTAACTTGGGAATTAACTTGGTGATTTTACTATCCTTATATAAGTTGTAGAAAAACTCACTTTACTACTCTCAGTAATCCATACTTTTCGATCATCAGCTTTATTTTTCGCAAACGCAAGGTCAATGCTTTCATCTGACGCCTTGCCATCGTAAATAAAATTCACTGTATGTCGTTCAATATCCATAAAATATTCTCGAGCTTCCTGAGCTGATGATGTTCCCAATCCTATAAAAATATGGTAACAATAACCACCATCAGCGTCTGTTTACTAATGCAATGTTCGTTTTAATAAAAGTAAGATAACCAAATATTAATACCCTAAGAAAGTCTTCAAATGTGGATGTCAAACCTTTATAATATTTTATCGAATACTTCACCGAATCAGGATTTTCAGCCCGCCATTTTTCATAGTCATTTGTACTATAAAATGATTTGACGTCAGACCCACGCTTCGCCTGCAACAATATCGGATCATTAATGAATACGTTCGCAGCTCTTTAGATTACATGCAATATATTCAATTCCTTCTTTCACTTCTTTAGACCATTTCCGATCCTTTATTCACCCACTGCTCCAGCATAACTTTCATTCATATATGTAGCTTAGCACAAATGCAGGGATAAATTTCTCAAGAATTGCATCAAAACAACTAAGCAATACCTTCAACAATGGAGTAATGAAATAATTGATATAATTAGCTTTAAGTAGTGATGGCCAATACATATGCAGAAAATTTACAATCAATCCCTTAATATGCGATCCATCGGGGTCCTATAATATTTTGTTGTGGTTCATACATATGTTGCATTTAATAAAAAAAATTGGCAAAAATATGAAAAAAGAAGGAAAGATGTTCAATGCAAGACGATTATTAGAATAATATGAGAAAAAAAGAAGTGTGAAAATGAAGAAATTTTAACTTAATTGGAAAGTGTAACTTGTTTCGAAAATAAGCTGTGATTTTGCAAAATGATATAGTAGTGTTACAATTTTTATAGAATTAGTACTTTTAAACAGTAGGAATAAGAATATTACTTGGTCAGTCATTATAAGCAATCGTCCGTAGCGCAAAGATTTTAATTTTTCGTCGCTGTTATAATCTTCACCAAATTTTAATCCCAATATCCTTATAAGAGCCGATATTTCGGCATTTTCGACGGCCTTTAAAGTCATTTTAATAATTAAATTTTAAAAATAGGCTGAAAATCGAGATGACAAGATTAAGACCCCAAATCTCTCTCCATCCCACTGTTAAGTATAAAAGCTAATAAGAAAGAAAAAAACTAGATACGAATTCACAACTGCAAAATATTTTTTCTCACATATAAAATGAAATTTATTTAAAACATTTTGAAGGTTTTCTCATTTAAACGGAAATTTGGGAATTTGGCAACATCTTATAAAATCGTTTCTACTGTTAAGACGTTGATTCGTCGGAAACTTAATAATTCAGCAAATCTAGATCTCAAAATATCAACCATTTTAGCATCCATCCCTCGAACATTTGTCAGCTTCCCTCGAATTGGAAAAACACCATATTGTTTCCGTCCAATTATAGCGAGACCCGCAACTGCGAGTGCTTTTGCTGAATCACCTTCTGTTATAATTAATGTGCAATTATAACCGTTCTTAGTACCTGCATCAACTGCATCCTCAAGTTTTGATAAATCCCACAGTGATCGTTTTATGGAGCGATTCAGTGAAGCCTAAAATAAAATACTGACATTTAGTTTAACTATATTACAAAAACCATAGAAATCTTGTTTACAACCTTATATAAATCCAGAGATAATCAAGGGAAAAGAATAAATATGCACCGTATGTTGTTGACTGATGTCGCAGAGCAAATAATCGATGATATCGCTATTTTTAAGGAAATTTTGGTAGAATGATTCAGGCATAGCGCAAGTCGAACCGAAATTCTTCAATGATGTTGTAAGGTATTCTTTTGATTGCGATTCGAAGGAAGGATTTTCTATCAATGAATTTACAAATATATGAAGTCGATTTTTAACCTGAAAATATTTTACAAAAAATTTTCATTCACAATTGATTATTTTCACTGCTATTTTTAGAACTAAATAAGTGTTTTTTTTTTTTTATGTCTTCACTGCTGCTTATGAACTCTAAGATTATAACAAGACACAAACAACTTACCTGATGTGTACTTATGGATTTTTCGCAACCGCAGCGCTGATCTATTTCTTGCTTTAGTCGTGATACTAACTGATTCGCAATATAATCCACATGTCGTCCTCCCTAAATTATTTATATTGTATCAAAATGTTCTGATACTGTACGTCAGCGTTACCGAATAAAAGTTTGTGTATTATGCTTGAGGTCAGCGAGATACAGAGAATAATAAAACTTCAGTAAATCAAACTCCAAGAGCTTCAAATGCCAGTAAGTACTTTACTGCGAAAACTTTACCAATTCCATGATTTCATCGATTTAAAAAAAAAACAAACCTTTAAAGTACTGATATTGTTAACAAAACTAATCTGCTGATACCCAACATCACTTCGCGCTACAGCAATTTGCCATCGATCATTAACATGACAATAGAAAGGAACCGTGGAATTTTCAACATTTTCACCAGTATTTGTTGAAAATAGTTTTACGTAATCTTCGAATCCTGAAACCTTCAAAACAATGAGGTTATACATCATACAAATGTTGCCAAATGGAACATACAATTTTCAAATGGAACATACATTTCGTGGGTCCAAATTCATAAATCTTTGAAAAAAGATATATAACTCATGAAATGATACTATTTTACCGATGACGAAAATATTTACTACCTCGATCTTATTGCCATTCAAAAATACATGAACGCCATCAAGAGTACCAGCGATATCTACTGTCCTTCTTATCATTACTTCTACCGTATCTTCGTCTAAAGTTGATAACTTGAATTTGTCCAGGTCGGGCTTAAACGTTACACAAGTATAGTCGGATGCGTCTGTGCCAACATTATTAATGATCGGGTCATCCACATCTTTCATGTTATTCCGCCAACACTAAAGCGAAAAAACACCATTAGTTAATAATGAATTCAGCAAAATTTGTAATAATGAATTCAACATGTCTAACACACAACGGTTACAGTTTCAGAGTAACAAAGTGAGTAAGAAATAGTATCAGACAATTGAGGTAGAAGAATTGGAATCAAATTTTAACAGAAGAAAACTAAGGTGTATGTGTAATTAACGCATATGCAGAATAACCCTCACACACATATAAATAATAAAATAACAATTCCTGTACTTTAATTCAGAAATATTGGCAATATAATAGGAATACTGGCTTACTTGAAAAAAGCGCAACCCAGACTGCTTCGTACATGTTTCTACGGCAAATTCCGTGCTAAATATGTTGCACAACTTGGCACCGAATCCATTCCTACCACCTGCAATTTTAGCAGTTCGATTAAAAGATTTTGTTTAACTTGTGTTTCTCTGATAAAATTGAAAAAAAATTTTTTTTAACACTGAAGATTATCTTTCAGGTCAAGCATCTGCCAAGACGAATATGTATAAACTTAATGCAGTGTTTCATAACTTACTTCTATAAAAATTGGCTATACAGAATAACATGTAGCATGTAAATTGAACTAACCAACTATTTTCAGTTCGGAATCGTCATAATTAGACGAAGTGAATAAGGTGCCAAAAATCATCGTAGGAACATAGATCCCTTCGATCGGATGAACCTCCACTGGTATCCCATGGCCATTGTTCCAAACCGATATTGTGTTCAATTCTCTAAATAAAAAATCGAGATAGAATGGATAAAATTAATACCTGGTATATGTTTATTTTAGTGAGTTCAATTATTATTAGCAATTTACTGAAAAACAAGACCAACCTATCAATATTAACAGCGATCGTCGTCATTTGTGGATCTCGCCTCTTGTTGTCAGCTGCATTAACCAAAATTTCATCGAAGATTTTCAGTAAACCAGGCACAATTCTTGCTTCTTTTTTTAGTATTTGCTTCCTCGTTATATCGTAAACATAAATCGGCTAAAGACAATAAACAATGCGCAAATTACAAGGAGAAAAAAGGCGAAAAAGATACTCATCTGACGTAATTTGAAAAATTTAATGTCCAGGACCTATTACCAATAAAATTTTGTAAATTTTGTTATAAATACAAACCAAAGAATACAAACTTGCTCATCAGATAAAAAAGCAGAACCAATATAACTATCTGGCCGATAAAGTATATGTTTCAGGGGTGTTAGTCTTTGATATTTCTGCGCTGCCAACTTTGCAACAGTAGGAACAGTAGCTCGCTGTTCCGATTCATGTAGGACTGAAAATCTCTGAATACAAAATGGGTAAAATTATTGAATCATTACATTTTGACACCTACTTATTTTGTTGTACTGGTAACTTGTCCATTGATACAACTTTTTAAAAGACCAACAGATGGCAATGACCTCGCTTCCTTCTTCTTCAAACATCAACATCTTTACAGCAAAAATACTAACCCCTACTGCTACTAATAGTACGTTGGCAGCAACAAAAATGCAATCGTTGGTAACGTTCAGATGGAAATATTCCTAGATGCAAGTTTTTCTTCGAAATAACCAATGATTGTTTGGGACTCTGTCCGAAGAAGAGTACCCTCTGAAAATACTTCATCCAGAGCACTTTATCCACTCATCTTAGCGTCGGATCTAAAATTAACAAAAAATTTTACAAAATGAGCAACCGTGTGACTCTCGGAATAAACCAACCAACACCTCTCATATAGGATCCAACAATCGTCCAACTGTGAAATAAGAATACTCTTTAATAGACGATGAAATCGGGCTTACGGAACACTGTCACTATCAAAGGAAACAAAATGAATGTAGCGAACAAAAAAGGCAGCTAATAGATGCATTTTCATGGGGGAATTTCAAATAAACGAACGAGCATAAAAGAGGATTTTAAACGGTGGCTTTGAACTGAATTGAAATATTCAGTTCGAAGTAATACGTTTGCTGAACTTGATACCGGTTAGATTTCATGTACCGTTGAAAGAATATTTATTCAAATATAATTTATCAAGGACATAATATAACAGAGCAAATGATAAAATACATTAAATACTTCACGTAGTGTACATGATCGCAAATTAATGATGAAACAATTGCAAATTTGGGTACAGTGACCATCACACTTAATTTACTTAATTACCCATCAAAAATCAGTCACGTTAAGACAAATTCTAAAACATGCGAGTAAAACATTCTAATCAATATCTTTTCTAAAACTCGATTTCCAAAGTTAACCCAGCAATAACAGTATGAATATTTATAGGAACAACAGCATAGCATGAAAGATAATATTGCTGAACACAAGAAAATAAACAATAACAAATTTATAAATTAAGAAACGCGATTATTTGGCAGAGACATATCACAACATGGACCAAATCTATACATCACAATTTAAATGCAATATACAAACAAAGAATTATTTTAAAGAATTATTATACAAACCGTGATGTAACCATAGTCCCCATCTGTATCTAACATGCAAGTAAGGTTATTTGCCTGAAACTCGTTTATTTTTTGGTCAATATGACATGCATGAACTTTTGTCAGCAAAGTGATATGTGACTATACTTACGCGTTAGATGTTTTATTATAACTTATTATTCTTTTTCCCATCTGATCACCGAAAAATCTCTTTTTCTCATCTGATTATTCTATTATAGGTGCAGCTCAGCAATAAGAGTAAGCAGTTCTTTGAATACTTTTTTCCCACTTTGTTAATTATTGTTAATACAATTTGCAAAATTTCAATTAGTTGTAAAGGGGAAGAAAAATAAATTAAATAGTTTGACACTTCCTAATTTGTTCCTCATATAACTAATTCATTTGGCAAAATATTTTGCACTTGGTTTTAATGTGAGGTATTTCCTTTCATATAGTAAAAGCAAAAAAATGTAAGGATATGATCTCCAGAATTTTAGAAATCCAAATCCTCTGGAACATAACCATGCAAGCATTTCAAGAAGTAACTATGAAAGAACTTTGCCTCAGCAAAAGTAATTTCGTCTTTAGATGAAAACACAATCCATCCTGAATGATCGTCCATAGGACGCCTAAGAAACTTCCATAAAAGGGTTTAAAGACCTCATCACTGAATCTGTAAAAGCAAAGGGTCAGTATCTATCGTTTGTCTACGGAGAATTAGCTGATAGCAAAGACTGATTTGAGAATTCTCTAAACAATTATAAGGAAAAAAGTTTTGTTTCGGCGATAATTTCCAGCTATCTACATCTTAATTAAATTAATAAATTTATATTGAGTCAGATACACTGGAACCAAAACAAAAACCCGTAGAGAATTTCACACCGCCCTTCATTCATTCAGTAATGTACAAGACAGCTACTTGGAGGAAGATATGCATCGATCACGAGCGGTTGATGCTGTTTGTTGCGCTGCTTCTCAGCGGCGGACGAGGTGACTGAAAAAACTCAATGATTTATGAAACATCTTACAAGGTGTACTTTATCGAGGCCGGCGTATTAAACCAGGCATATTTCATGTATTTAATATTATTGGAAATGAAGAAATAATATGATCAAGCAAAACCTCGATGATCGCTGGTAAGATAAAATTTAATTGCTACTAACTAGAGGAGTAGATAAAAACAAATTTGAAACTTAATTTGGTGTTTCACTAATATGTAAAACATTTCAAGAAAGATTACCGTACAGTGGTTGTTTGACATTTCATGCTGTTGTCTTGTTACCGAACATTTCTGGGTTGTCTTTGCGATTGTCCATCGTCCAGATACTTTACGTTGCTGGGTTCCACTACTTGTATTTGATGCCTGAATAAAGCTTACAAGTATAATCTCATAGCTCACCACTCTTCGGAAATCAATAGCATTCAATAAATCCGACGTTTAATAGTCAAAAAAGCAAACTTTACAAATTACACAATTTTTGTCTAATGAGTCAATAAGTCACCATATACATATATTATTAGTTATTCAAAACTTTCAAAGCTTATTATTCTCAATTCTAAGAAACCAGATTATTTGTTTTTCAGTGAAGCCAACCGACAATCTCAATGATAACGTGTTTTTCACACAATATGATCAGAAATGTTGTTGACAAACAAGGCATACCTGTTGTTGACTAATACTTGGTGTTCGATTCAATTCACCTTTGATAAATCGTTCCACTTTATCCATACAAGCTTCTTGATAATCATGTACCCATCGTACACCATTATAACGTGTTATGTGTCGTATATCAGCTGGTAAATCGGTATCGGCGGGGAAATCGAAATGCTGATCAAAAATCGGTATCACATTCTTATGATGATCAAAAGCACATCGTAGCTGAAATACAAATTATTAGCTAAGATTTAGCCGCCAAATTTTACGCACACAGTTTATTTTTTCTGCAATTACAGTCATAGATTTTTGACATTTCAAAACTATTGCTTATAAGAAGGTAGAGACGGAGTTAGAAGAAGTCCGAAACGCTGACTCTTTAAAGGATTATCATTGTTTATCAGAATTAAAAAGATACTCAACAAAAAGAGCGGTAAACAATTAATTTGTCGTGTATTTTGAGATATGCGTAAAAATTACTGGCATCAACTGTAGCTTAAGAAAAAGAAAGCACCCGAGGTGCCAGGAATTACAACACGATGAAAAAGAAAAAAGTTGAATTAAAGCAAAATTAAATGAATACTTCTGTATTAATTCTCTTTTCTTCTTCCTATCCTCAATCAATAAAACCGCCAACAAACCTCTTTATGTATCCAGTCTTCACAGTTGTGATCATTGAATAACCTATCCAAAGAATTTGGCGTCAATACAAGAATGAAGTGTTTTGCTGCCTGGATATTTTTTAATAATGATGAATCAAATTTACCAGCGTAGAGTTTATCAACATCAATGAATACCTGCAATCGCAAATATATACAGCTATAGTATCAAAATGGCGGACATGAAGGGATATAATAAAACATTATTAAGAGTGAAAAATCTAACTCAAATTTTAAAAAAGAAGATTATCATTGTTCATAAGAACCAAAAAGATACTCAACAGAAAGAGCAACAAATAATTTTGCCCTGCACTTTGTAGATATGCGCAAAAATTACTGATATCAACTGTAACTTAAAAAAAATATTCATATCCCGCAAGTTGTGACGTATTTTTAATGGCACAGAGAAGTATATTCAACAGATGGAATTCTTGATATATTGAAAATCTATATAAGTCGGTCAAAATAAAAATAAATATTAACCTTATATCCTCTAAGTTGAAGTAAAACTTTGATAAGGCTGGCCAGTTGATTACCTGTACTGCGTCGATAACTTATGAACACATCAATTTGCTTACTTAATATCGCAACTTCAATATCATCGATGTGTTTGCTATCTACAATTTTTGCAATCCCATAACGCATTATTTCTTAAACTTTATTATGATTTGATCAACAAGAATTAGTATTAAAATTCCAATCTGGCTTTAATCACCCGATGAATCAATTACATTTTAAATCTTACCTTGCAATGCTTGCCTCAGCTTGAGCCTATGGATAGGATTATGCATGCCGCACACAGTTTTCATTATCTCGTCAGTTAAAGATGGCAGCAAGCTACGATTTAGGCCCATACCAAGCATCTGATATGTATAAACTGATAATTCGGGGCTTAATGACATCAGGAATTGATCCAATTGACTTTCGTCTACACTTCCATAGTCGGCTGCGATCTGAAAGTGTCACGGACTTAAGAGATAATAATGATTAGTGATCAAATCATACTAAAGAAGCAAATACCATTACCGAATCAAAAATCTAATCATTAGATTTCTAATCAGTAGCATGATTATTTCTATTCCATTTAGCTATCAAAATTTTGACTGAAATCATTCAGCAGACAAATAAATCTCTGTGAATTAAAAGTATTTTCCTAAAGAAGAAAAACTTGCTTTAAGACTTTCCAGTTCACGGATGAAGCGTTTCCTAAGAAGGGCGGAAGACATCTCAAGATCTTTTTCAAGCTCTTTTTCAGTTAGTAACAACAGTAAATCGCCATCGACCATGTGTTTCGCAAAAGCATCTGCATAGGATTCAAAGCCAATCTGCACAAATTAACATGAGAGTAAAACATGATAAGAAAACTTTTAGTATGTGAGTGCAGAATAAGATTAAAAATTTAGAATCTTTGATTAAGATGTATGAAAAAAAGACATTATTAAAGATGATAACTTGAAAATTTGCATTTTACGTTCGAGCCAGTAGAATTAGAGTAGAATTTCCTTTTCCAAAAGCTGTTTAATCTAATTAAGCAGAAACGTAAAAGCTTTAGACCAATTTTTTGTTTGCTAAAGCAAAAAATGAAGCTGTAAAATAATAAATGCTAAACACTGGAGGAGATGCACTTATTTCTATGACACTACGCATTCCCTCCAGTACTTATTTCGTAGACATTCTGCCATATCAAAAACATTTTAGATTAAATATTTCGTTTCAAAATTTTGAATTTCAAATTTTTGTATACAAGCCGTCTCATATTTCTCTAAAAAAAGATAAAATTCAATGCACCAAAAAAGAAAAGAAAACAGGAGAAAGGAAATTTTACCATTTTTAGAGGAAGTTAGCTCCAAAAAGAAATGGATGCTAGAAAAATAGTATAGAACCTACTACTAAACTAACCTTCTTCACCCAGTATTGCACATCGGCAATTGTCCAGCACGGTACCTGTTGCGTAAGTTTGTAGGGTACTTCCTCACCTATCACAGTTAAAGCTTCACTTGCAAACTTTGCGGCCACCTCATCTGGACTTGATGCAATTTCTTTCAATGCCGCTATTGCTCCTATTTCCTGCAATACATTGAGTTATATATTTTGAGTTGCAATTTCATTTAATCTCAACCAATCCAATTTTAAACTTCTACTTTGAATGCATTCATTACTTTTTTCATTTTTCTACAAAACTATTGAGAAGCAGAAATGAAAGAGTTTCTAACGATTTAACAAATACTTTACACACATTCCAGCGGTGCATTGTAACATATGATTTTAAAATGCAACAAGTAATCAACGCAAATTTTTAGAAATTAATTTTGAATTTAAAGTTGAAAAACTTGAATACCCCATAATACCTCAACAAATTCATCACCATATGATCTTGCAAGACATCGTCGTGTGTGAGAACGGTTTAGCTGCATGATTATATAGGGTAGCTTCATTTTGAAGAAGTGTTAAAATTATGCATGCAGCAACAAGTTGAAGAGAATACGAAAATACAGAATTTGAAAGAGATGAAAAGTAAATAGTAATTTCCAAATTTATATCCAGAGAGCGTGAAGATATATGTCAACTGGAAAATGTAAGACTCACCACCGTAAAGACATCTCACAGATCATCACTACTTTTAATCAGGAAAAAATGATGGAACATTAGATCTGTCAAGTTACAATAAGATGGTGAAAGTAAACGCATGCATGGTATGCCAGTGTATATATGTTGCATTTCTATATACAAACATGCCGCCCATAAGAACTATGCACTCTTTTATGTTGACGCCTATTTTTCTCATTATTACCACAACGCACTGATAGAATTTTTGAGAAAGAAAAAGAAAAACATAATTTTAACACTTCTTCGAAAATATTACTGTTAGCAAAGATGACGAATTCCTAATCAGTTTTAAGTCGAAAAACAAAAATCTTTGCAGAGGAAAGAGCAGCAGTGATAGAATGCATTGCTAAAATTCAAATTCTAAGATTTTTTAGCTTCAACGGTCTAAAAATACAAAGTCAGCCTCACTTTAACGAAGAAAACCCATGGAAGTTCGTTGAATTTAGCAGCTGATTTAGAAGTTTTTGGAAATTACTAAAGCAAATATGACTAACTTTACTGCCTTCTGAAAATTTTTTGACTTCTTGGTGAAAATTTCGGAAAATTCAAGACCTCTAATTAATCCAACAGTCAAAAAGTCCTGCTGCCTGATACTGTTTATTAAGACTATGAATTAAAATCTGTGGTACTAAAAAAAATTGTAAAACGAGAGTCTCATCTACGTAGTTTTTTCCTTTCAGCAATCTGTTCGAACGATATAATTGAATAATTTAGGAAAAGTTCGTGCCTAATTTTGACTCTGGCATAAACAATTCTTCATAAGCTAATTGTTCTACAACAGATTTCTTTACAAAAACAGAACAATTGAGAAGGATACTAGAATCAAGGTTTATACAGTAACTGAAATAATAAAAAGTAAGTTATATTTGAATCATTGCGCTATTATGTTTTAATAATATTACTGCTAGCAAAGATGACGAGCAAATATTATTCTCCTTTTCAAGATAAATCAACAAAGCATTTATTTCTACAAAAAAATTCTTTCTTTCGTAAAAGAGAGAAATTCTTTAGAAGTTCCTAGAACGATTTCGAAAAATACCAGGTTACGTTCTATTTTTTCGGTTCACTGCCAAGATTCCTTTCAGCATTCCCAGAAAAAAGTGGTGGGAAAATCGCGATAATTTTTCGGGTGAATAGCGACATATTGTGTCATGGACTTTTGCGAAAAGGTATTTTGAAAACTAAACAACCTACTTGAAAAACTTCAAGTTTTTGCTGATCTTTCTTTATTGCTGCTTCCATTGTAAAATGAAATGCAGCAATACTGCGTGCTTCGCGACATTTTGACTTGAGCATCGGTAACAATCTGAAGTAGAGACTTTTCGAGCAACTGCGAGAAAAAAATTCTGGGGAAAAAATATATATATATAGAAAGAAAAAACGATTCCAAGACCCCGAACAATAAACGCATCAACAGTTTCTGAGTTGCATTACGAATCTCGATGAAGACCTAATTAATAATGTACTCTACTGATACTGCTACCATCCTTCCACCCTTTTCCTTTTTCTTATGCACATTAGTATTAATACATAGAGTCCTTTAACACAAGTTTTGTCTTTTATTTCGAGTCCAAATCATTTGAAATATGCAAATTTTTCACTTTATCGAAAATTGAATGAGACTATGAAGTTCTAAACCTCAAAACTAGAATTTCGGTTCAGTTAATTGATTAATGTACTGATGCATGGATTAAACTGGAGACATAAAGATTAATAGATCAGATAAGACAGCAATTAAAAAATTTCTGTCCATCATTCTTTGAGCATCCAACAGTGAGGATACTGATGTTTGTCTGACCCTAACGACATACATTGAGGTGGTAAACGCAAAGCAATAGTAACCTTTCAAGCCATTCCTTTGGTCGTCCTTGTGAATGTTTGTAGTGATCACCGGCAAAAGTTATCGCTTGATGAGCAAGTAGGAATGGTTCTACTAATGCTAAAGTACCCGACTTATTGACCGCTGCTTCCATTTCTTTCGTACTTCCAAGCACACAAATTGCTAAGCATGCATAATAACGTGTTATATCGTCTGGTTGTGAAGCTAACAAGAAGAGCCAGTCTGGCACCTGCAACTATCATTTGAATTTACTGTTTGTTCTTAAGTTTCAGTAAGTTCTAATCTTTTTTTCAAAATTAAAGATTAGGTAAAATTCATAAACCAACTACAACTGAATACGATTTTAGACGAAAATTCCAGGAAAAGTAAGCTCATTATTTCTCTAATATTAACAAATGGCAAATGTCCCATCCAAATTTCCTTTAGACTTTCGAAGATTGACGAAGAATTAAATTAAAGTTTTGCAAGAAGAATTTAAAATAAGTTTTTTTTGAAAAAGCAATAATGCTGCTGCAAAATGACTTCTTTAATATGATTCATTCAATCTGAATGAATCGATCACTATCCGATGAAAAATGCAAACAGTTTTTCGCATTAAAAGCTTTTTATGGGCAAACTAATAAACAGTATAAAAATTAAAGGAAATCAACAAAAGTAAGGATGGAAATGGAAGTAAGTTAATTAATAGCTGTATCCTTCCTATATTCCTCATATACCTCATCGTTGGCGATCGTTTCCCATTAACTTTATCACTATCAATTAATCTTATCACTATCTCGAACCACTATTTCACGAAGTTATACTCGCATAAATGATATATATGGGGAGGAAGTAATGTAATGATGAAAGAAACGTATTTTTGCTTCAGTTTGATAAATTAAGAAGTGATTTTGTTTTAGCCAATGATAAAGATTTCGTCATGAATCATTGAAGAGAGAGTTGAATACAAGATAATAGATTTGTGGTATTATCAGAAAAATACACCTGAAGTGGCATATTGAAGTACCTTAATGATATAGTGTACTGATAACCATAATTCCATAAGTTGCTATTAAATGAAGATGAAATTAAATTCAAAACAGATGATTAATTGAAAGGGATATAAAAATCTAACAAGAATTTTATATATTACAAATAATTCATAACGCCTTCATCAAATGCATAAGCTTTTTTGATAACTCAGACAAAATGGTAATAATGAAGTTAAACAAGCCTTCTTCTGAATAATTTTCTTTTTTGCTTCCGAACAGCTGTATAACGATAGATTAGCAAGTGCAAGAGCAGCATGCCGCAAGGTTATCGGTGTATCAGTAGCACGTTTACACGTTAGTAAAATGTGATCCAAAACGCCGTACTCAATTAGTCTGAAAAAGCATGTTATGAACTGAAAAGCACTGTATATTACTATTGATAGCCGTTGAACTCTTCAATAAATTTAAAAGCAATTACGAAGAATGCGTATTTCTCTTTTTTATTCATATTCACTTACTATAAAGCTAACCAATCGTAGTAAGGCAAAATATCGTTAAAGATCTCCCACCTCTCTAATCCTCTCTTAGCATACCTATAAGTAGTAGCAGTTGAATGCTTGAATAAGCTTTCCATAATCGACAATGACATTCGCTGTTGTTCCGGATTTTTGTTCAGTTTCTCAGCTGTCGCAACCAATTTTTTTAAATAACCCTTATTAACCACATATTCTCGATTATTCAATGAAAGACATTCTTCTAACACACGTCCGCATGCTAACCGTACTGTAAAGCAATTATTGCATCCAATCAGACAAAAGCCAAAATATGCAAAATACAGAAAAGAATCGGCGGTTAAAACAAAAACGATTCAATTTCTGCAGGATATAAGATGTGAAATTTCGAAAATTTGAAAATAAAAGAAAAGAAAAGAAGAATTATCACACAAAGGCAAAAGCTCAAAGAATAATTCTACTTCACTTAAAAGTTTTTTATCAAACTTATCATTTCTACATATTTTTCATTCAACTTTTCGTATAGTTCCTCTCATGTAATATAACTTCATCAAAGAACTCAAATTAGAGTAAGAGACAGAGTTGCGTTCTCTCTTTTGTCCACTGATAAACAATTGTATATTTTTCATTTGTCTACTGATAAATAAATAACTGATAAACAACTGTACATTTTCCTTTCTTTCATATACAAGATTGCTTATCATAGCCGTTCAAAAAATAAAACTTCAATTATGCTTGAAAATTCAGTAAAATTTTTGGGAATTTCAAAGCTTACCAGGTTCACAAGTCTGCGCTTTAATAAAATTCATAATAAGCGAATCGAAGTAATTCTGATCACGTAGATAATCGCAAAGTGCATATGACAAATCATGCGAAATTTTCGGAAACATCCATGCCTTTGTCATAACCTTTGCTACTATAGTACATCCCTGCAGGATGCAATTTTCATTCACATACATTATTTCAATAAATTTTATAATTTAATTTGCATTCTCTAAATTAGCAACACTTAATTTTATCCTATTTTCACATCTTATACTAATATAATAAATACATCGTTTAAGAAAGATTCAATCAATAGATTCACTCATACCAAATGCATCTCTTATTTGAGAATCTACTGGAATATTACTGATGTGAGAAGTACATCACCACAGTTAAAAGATAGATCTTTTCGAGATTAGCATAGATTATCCGAGTATGAAGCCAAAAAATGTATTATGCTTGAAATAATGTAATTCTTGATATACATGTGTGATAAGGACAGACAAGCATCATTAGTATTTCCCCATTAGTTATAAATGTACATATGTTGACATAAAGTTGCTCGCAGAAATGTTTTTTTAAAAACTACCGTTAATGTGATATTTACTGGAATATAGCGCACTATTTTCTGGTTGTATGATCATCTTCAATTTATTAAAATTTTTCTAATTTAATAAGTACTACTGAAATTTGCTCTATTTAAAGTCTTTACTATTAATTTTTCATCATTTCTGAGAATATATAAATAGTATAAGCAAAAATATTGGAGATTATTCTTTTAGAAATTTCTATTGCATAAGGCAAATTACATAGATTCTAATTTATCGCTTAGACCAAACTCTTAGATGAAATTTCATTTGAAAAAAAATATATTGAATATTGAATTTAAAATCCGTAAAAGAAACCTCAATAATTTGTTCATCGCTGCCCTGAGCAATATGTTCGAATGCTTTATCGATGAAATTTTGATATTTCGATAATTTGGTCTTTAGTGTGTGCATCATCATTATCTGTTCTGTATGTGAATGCTTCGTTAATGGTCCATTGGTTACTGTATCCTGCAACGGCGACAATGTACAAGACCTGATTTCATCTGTTCAATTGCGCTTTCTTTTACAGGATATAGTAACTTAACTTACTACACTGAAAGCAATGATTATGCAACCTGAAATAAGCTGAGACGACTGGGTGATGATGAACGTGGATCGGTTACTGGTGATAAATCATCAATTGTTACGTCCATTTCGGGTGCTGGTAATGAGCAAACTCCAGCTGATGAACCTTCACTTTTGAAGCGTCTATATTCTGATTCCTATATAAATAGGTTGCTTTAATTTATTAAATAATATCAAATAAAAATTCCTTATAATTAGACTAAAACCAAGACAATGATGCCCAAACAAACGTTTACGTTTAATCTCTCGTATGACTTATAATGTTCCGTAAAAATGGATCATAAATAGAGGTCTATTAGCAATGAAAATAGCTGACAATAGCAACAAATGAATACTATAAAAATTTATTAATTAAGATAATTATTTTGATATTAGATAAGAAAATGAATTCTTAAAAAGACTCATTCAAATTTCACACCTGTATCTTGTTCCAATCAATCTATCTGATATTAAGATTATCTTTTAGGGAAACACGAAGGGGATTATTAGTAATATCTAATACACGAATAATATCCTCTATTTTTAATTCATATTTTGTTTGGTTCTCCTTCCCATACAAAAATTTTAAAATATTCATTTTTTTACAGTCAAATTATGATAATAGGAAGATCGAGTACTGACAACAACTCTATCAGATGTCATAAAAACATCAGCAATGACATATACGATGACATTCCCATACAACTTTGACGTCAAAAGATTTCTGTCACCTTTAACAAGCCATGTATGTTTATAAGTATGCGCACATGTATGTCCGTGCCACTGTATTTGTGTGGGTGTGTCTGTGTCTGTCTGTGTGTGTGTATATGTGTGTGTAAGCAGTTGTGATCTCACCAATTCCTACTTTTTTTAAATTCATATTTGATGTAGAAGGCTATTTCAGTTCAGGAATCTCAATTGCATTTTGTGAAATATTCTACAGCATACTCTCATTGTACATTCTTAGGCATTTCACTTAGAGAAGCATTTAACGATGAAACATTCCTTTCTCATCCTCCATTTCATGCTATCCTCCTTTTTTGAAACAACTTATTTGCAAACCTTTAGTGCATTCAATGCCAAAGTAATCCTAAAAGGTATGGTAAAGCAGGTGGTATTTGAGATGATAACTATTTTATGCAACATATTGAATTAAATATTATAGGACATCAATAATTCTTTCTTTCATCTAATTACTATGATCTGTTCCTTGATCATAACCAACTTAACTCTTTTGTGGATTTCGTTTAAAAATTGTTTTATAGAATAATGAATATGATAAAGTGAAGTTGAGAAATAGAAATTTAACAAATAGAAAATAATAATTTGAATTGAATTTACTAAATCTTTCTATTTTAATAACATGAAGACTATATCTCAGATGAATTTTAGAAAGAAACGACAAGTTAATTTAATGTCGAAAAATTCCAACCAGCAAACGTCTATGAACATAATTGAAATATACCAGTAATAATTATTATATTACGGTAGCTCCTCTATTTTTCTCTGTCAAATATTTTTTGTAACTTTTGTACTGTCTCATAACAATTATAATAAAAAATGAAAAAATGGACGGAGAGACAGATTCCTCTGCAAAATTTTCCTTCATTCGATCCAGAAATTTCACTAAACAAATCTTTGCCACCAATTTAGCAATGAAATTGTTGCCAATTTTTTTTAGAAAACTGCTACTTATTTCGAGTTCCCTTTTACAATGAAGTTCTACTGTAGCTAATGTGCCTATAACGGTAAGGACCGTAACTCAGACTTCCTCTTTCTGATTTTTGAGGACATTGATATTATTACAACATAGGTGAAAGAAAAAAGTGAAACTTTATCGAAAATTATATCAGAAGATTCAAAAAAAAAGAAAACCCCGTAAGATAAAAAATATAAAAGATAAAAATAATCTTGAAGAAATCAACAAGACCTTCCGTGATGTCGACGGTTGATCATCATCACCACCAACATCATTGTTGCTGCCTGGACAAGGTGTCGACAAGGACTGCTGTAATCGTATTTCTGCGCTTGATCCCTAAAATAATCCGTAATTAGTTGTTTTTCAATTTGTCCAATATTTTAGATTTTGATCACTGTATGGATATTTCCTTTTGGCTAATACAGGCTTTTATAAAAAACATTAGGTAATGTGATAATTAAATGCAATGGAAATTAGGCGGTAATTAATGGATTAAAAACAGTTCTATTCCTAATTATCCAGTGATACACAAGATAAATAGCCGAAATGACAGAGAATTAGGCCCAAAAGAAGTTGAGAAAATAAATGGAGTACTAATTTCAATGTTTTTCACGAAATAATTAAAAATTTGATAATATACGTAATTGTCATATATCCATCGCAAAAGTTGAAAGATCGTATAAAATAAAGGATTTATTTATTTCCTGTCAATTAAAGACTTAAACTAAGTCATTGAACTCCATAAGATATCTGGTTGACAGCATTTACATAAAGAATCTATTGAGAGTGATCTGAAATAACCTAAAATAAGGAATGGATCAAGAAAAATCAGGTTTGCTCAAAAAGAAAAACTGAGCAAACTGTGAAGGAATTATTTATTTTAAAATGGGAAGAGTTAGAGAAGAAAGATCATTTCGACTAATTAATTTGAATTTTCTATATGCAAAAGTATTAAAAGTATTGCTTTCATCTTTCTAAACCATTTATTTAAAAAAAAATTGAACAGTATTTGGGTACCTGTTCAAAGATGCATTTTAACTCTATTCTTATCATTTAATTCTTAATTATTCTCAAATCCTGATAAGTCGGCATGCTAAAAACTCATACCTATTTCATTTATAACATATATATACAACTTCATTTCGCACAAAGAACTCTTCTAAAAAACTCTTTTTTTTTCTTTTCGTTTGTCAACAAAATAGTTTAGTAACTGGAAAAAGAAGACAAGAAGAGCATTTCAACATGTCATTAACTTTATTCAAAAAAACACCTAATATATAATCTATACAGCGCAACTCATTATATCAAACTGCTACTTCGTTAACAATAAGAAAATGTGATAATACAAGAAGTTATGTAAATAATAACCGATACGGCGGCGTGATTTGACTCGTCATGTGAAAGAAAACACGGATCTTCCATAGTATTGGCTTGTCTTGTTAAAGCATTATTGCATGTACTCGTTGTAGCCGAAATCTTCTCAATACCATTAATGCGCATTGGATTAGATCCTGAGGGTGCAAGAGATGTGACGGAAACCGTATCTATTGCATGTTGTTGGCTGCTATCGCTCAGCGGTGGTGCGGAACGCGGTGGAGGTGGCGGTAGAGCAATTGGTGGACGACGTGGACGAATGGTAGCAGTAGAATCCATGGACTGATAAAGACGGGTTGATTCATATAACGATGATGAGCTTGGGTTCAGACGGCATTCGAAATCGTCATCATCCAATTCGAACCATAAATCATCTGTCCTGCAACTATTCTTTCAATAAATAACTATTCATAAATTGACCTTTGCCCTCACCTCAATTAGCTATACTAGAATAGAGGAGGTTGATGTACTCTGAAGTATTGTATCATACTTCATAAATCATCTGTCCTGCAACTATTCTTTCAATAACACTTTATGACAATTCATAAATTGGCCTTTGCCCCCACCTCAATTAGCTATACTAGAATAGAGGAGGTTGATGTATTCTGAAGTATTGTATCATATTTCACTCTTCTATATAAATGGTGACGCAGGATGACACCTTTCACTTTACTTGTAATGTGGGAATTAAACAAAAATAGTCAATAATTTGAAACAATATAAGTTATCAATATATCGTTCCCATTTCTTCCAATCCTTTTTGTCTGTTCTATTGAATTTCAGGTAAATTGATGCTCTTCAATTCTTTTTTAAAGAATAGCACTGTTGATTTAAATACATCAAAATTCTATGGATGATCTAAAATTTTAAAATTTGTGATGAAGTCAAAGTTTAAAGAGTTTGTATAAAATGTTGAAGTTTCTAAAAAATCTAACAAAGTCTCCTCAAATAAATCATCACAATACAGTACACCATTAACAGCTTGTTAAAAATATAATTACATGATAAAGAGAAGAATTAAATGAAGTAATGATATTGTACGAAGGGAATGAACATCATTACCGCATTATGATGTCATAAAAAATAATTGCGACAGAAAAGAGATAGTTTTCAATGAATAATATGCAAAGTGTTAAGAAGTTTATACGACTGTTACTAATTTAATTATAATTTTGACAGTTTCTCAGCCTTTCTCATATCATTTGTTGCCAAATTCCTTACATAATTTAAAGCGACCAATCGACTCTCATATTTTAATTAATACTAATTCAATTGATTGTTAATAATTTTCATTGCTATAAAAATAAATATTGTTCATCCGATCGGATTACGATTTTCTAAATCCATTTAAATTATCATATAATCCCTAATATTATTTGTAAAATTTCTTTTCAAAAGAAGATCATCGTTTATTTTCAGTATCATTTTAATAAATATCAGTCAAGTTAAGGTATAGATTGTTATAAAGTTTTGGGAAAATATAAAAGTTGAAGTTGAAAGTTTAAAAAAACAAACTACTTAAAAGTCATTGAAAATAATAGGATTTTTAAGAGAACAGAACTTCTTCATTAATTTTATAATAATGCTTTAATGAATGCTAAAAGAAAAAAATCGGAATTCAGTGTAAGTTTTGAAAAACGAAAAATGAATTTTCAGAATGTAAATAAACAATCGAATACTCATTTCTAATATAACATGTCATTAATTAAAATATGAATGATATATGTAGCAAATATCATCTATCATAAAGGCCAATTTATTTTTTGTGTGAAAAAAATAACCAACAGAGTATCAGTATACGGTAGGATAAATATTTTCAGTGAAAAAAGATACCATTATTTATAAGTTATCCGAGAATAGACGGTCCAAACAACCCGTAACCAATAAGACAATAAACAAAAAGGAATCGATTGATGAATAAATATTCTTCGAGAGATGATACTGGATCATACTTTCCAAATCATTTATCGCTATACTAAATGTTCAGGTAATCCTAATGTTCTTGATAATGTATAATAGATATAGAGAATGATAAAATCAAAACACAATAACTCCTCATATAACTATTCAATAAATTTGTCATAGGTATTTAATTAAAAAACGGAATCAAATTTGAAATTTAATTTATCAATTAAAAAAATTGCTTTGTGTAATTGGGAGAATAACATCACAAAATGAATGTTTTACATTCTTATAAACTGCACGATTCAATTGTTTAGAGCATCTTTCAACAGCTGTTGTAAAATCTCACCATCCTAATTTCAAATATCTTCGCCGATTCATCCATTAACTTTAACAGTGCACTCAATTGATCTATCACTCTGCTACATGATTTATTGAATGATTTATGTTACGCTAATCAATATGCTGCTGTATTTGGATCTACGTTGATCTGAAACCTCAGATAATTGCAAGATAACATGTAAACTGACCTTATTAGTGAAACGCTTAATGCTATTGTTTCAGAAAACTACTCAAAAAAAGGTATTAGATATGTTGTGATGCTTTTTTTATACCTTTTTGAATGTGTAATAAAGTACATTTTTTCTAGATCGTACTTTTCATTTCAACTTTTTCCGTAATCCAACAAGCTTTTCTCTCATTAAATCTGACTATTTGTTGGAAATTCGAAATAATTTCAAATAATTCAAATGAAAGCTAAATCGATTAGGACGGAAAAGACATTATAAAAAAATTGCAATTTCATTTTCATCCTTCTGTTTCTGTTAATCAATTCTCATTATATCGTAAATTAGTCAAACTTAATGATGTCAAATTCATCTCATGCATTCCTATTTCAGTGATGAGAGAAATTTCTCCTTTCTTTCTCTGTTAGCTATATTGATTCCCTCAGAGATACTATCGGGAAAAAAACATAATAAATCAATATTTCCATCATTCACTCTTTTCATTCGAGTTATTTCTAAAATATGCAAGAAAAAAAGGAAAAAATAGATTTCTTATTTCAAAATTGGAATAAAACCAATTTCTTCATTTATCTTCTTATTTCTTTTCTTCACTTTCTTTTCCGATACTTTCATTTAATTCTGGAAAGTTCCAATATCCAAAGGTAAATTTCATAAAATCTGTTGTCATCCACTAATTGAACTGTTTTTTCCTTACAGAATGTGAGAGAATTCCTTTCCATTTGTATTACAATATTTGGTATTACAAATAATTTTAACTCTTTTCTCATATTCTCTTTGCAAATTATGCTGACCAAAGCTGCTGAAGCTACTGACTATGCTGACCATTGAAAATGTTTGGCAGAATTCTCATTTGAATTATTTTGTTTTTTTTAATGAACGCTTTCGACATAACATCTATCATCTCAATATCAATTAAGTTGCAATTAAGTTAAAAAGTTGCAACTTTCCTCCACTCATCCTAAATCGAAGCAAAAACGAAGAGATTCGAAAGAAAAAATCGTTGATAGATAGTTAGCATCTAATCAAATGAAATAATCATATAGAAAACTTTTATATACGATCAGTTCTAGTGTAACCGATTAAGATGCTCCATATTAAATAGTATACTCGTAATCCAGACAAGAATGAACAACTGTTTGAAATGATTTAATTGATAGAAACCAGAAAGCAGGCAAAATTAGAGAAGTTGCGAATCATTATAAGAAGTAAGTTTATGTGTGCTTTCTATGGCTGTAAGATTGAGCCTTAAAATGATAGAACGCATATATCATGTTGGAACAAACATTAAGTGATAAACGAATATTTTAGACAAACATCTATGAGGAGAAGTGTTTCATTTTGAAATGATTTTAAACCGGGTCAGCCCGAGAATACCTAATAATATCGCAGTGTCAGATAGAGAATGCTTAATGTGCAGTGTTAAGTGATCTTATAATATGAATATTACTCGAAAAGACGAAATGTTAAGCAATTTTTACAATTTTAAAATATTTTTCCACACGTAAGAAATTCAATAGACTAACAGACAAATGATATGAGTTTTCTTATATGTAGAAAAGATAATTCTAAACTCTTAGAAAATTCGGCAAACTACAACATTCTGATTAAGAATAGGAAGAGAATAGAAGAAAGCTTAGTAAACATTATTTTAAAACAATGCTAACTAACAATTCATATAACGACCATTTTCTTTCTAAATCTCAAAAGCATCTGTGAAAGAGTGTGTCCTTCTCTGAAAGAATGGCCAACAAATAATCCCAACTCTAAATTTGCAAAATTTTAACAAAAAATTCTTGGCTCATAAGAAAATATTTCATTCATAGCAAAACTTCAGTTCACTTCACAACGTATTGGAATAATATTTTACAAAGAATGAAATATTTTCCACAAAAAAATCTCTTCCTGACAGAAAGGCAAATGACTCTGTTCAGTTCTCCTTAGGAACGGGAGTAAAATAATCTAAGGTTATCGAGATTAATTTATAAGTAATGAGACTTAATTGGCATTTTCTATTGAGTAAAAACTTGCGAATGGAATATTCTGGAATTTCCTAATTACTGCGATTTATTCTATCGCAAGATGGTCATATAATTGATGATATATTAAGATACTGCCTCTAATTTTATTAGTAATTACTATATTATCAATAATATAGCAACAACTATCATCCTTATTTCCATCAAATATTCTTATTTGACTTGATCAAATAGTATCCGATATATAAATGGTTATTTCTTCTACAACAATTTAATCCATTCAGATTCAACAAAGTTAATGAAAAAAAAAAAGACGAACAGAAGTATTGCTTAACTTTCAGATAAGCAAAATTCTTACAATGTTTCGATGCTTGCTTCTTTTTCCGATTCATTCAAACTATGAAATCGATCGGCTATCGTTTGTTGTTGCCGCTTTTCATCATCAGAAGATGGCGTTATTTCAGATGTTGATAAGAAATAACTATCTGAACAATAATGCATTCCAACTAAACCCGTAAATCCGATCACTCTTAACTTCTCTTCTTCCTTCTTGCTGTTGTAACAGTCCAAATATTAATAACCGGATAGAATTGTTCTTTTTTTGCTTTGTTTTGTTCTTGGAGTAACAATGACTGTTAATAATAATAACACTAATAGTAATAGTAATAGTAATAATTAATAATAATAATGACAATAATAGTAAGATTAAGTAAACAAAAAATTAATCTCACACGATCGTTTTGATAAAGCGAAAAAAAAGAAGATACAACTAAAGATAAGGATGCAAATATCTAGACTGAGAGTCTAAACTGATGTCAATTGATCGTAGTAGATATGATAACATTGTTATGTCAACATGATTACGAGAATTTTTTAAAACAAAAAGATGCAACAAGAAAAGAAACTGATGTTTGAGAAAACATATAGTGATAAATATCATTCCTCTAATCGTATACGTAACATGTTTGCACTAAGTTTATGATTGTTATCATTCATTTATTAAATTTATTATAACTAATGAATTTACTACCTTTCTTCACTTTGAAAATAGACACTAATGCAT